ATGAATAAACTTTTGATCTTTAGCTTGCTATTTTATTTTACTTTAAGAAAATAAAAAAATAAAACTTAAAATAATAAAAATAAAATAAAAGTTTTGTTTCACTTTATATTCTTATAGACTTTAATAATAATAAAAACAATGATTACAATAACTAAATTAAAGTTTGTTATTTTTAAATTTCAATGTCTTAAACTTATAAAATATTATAATAAAATGTAACTTATATAATATACATTTACTTTTTTTTAAAAATAAAAAGGCACATTAAATAAATACTTATTGAATGCAATTTTTTTTTTAAATTGTATATATTTTTAATCATTAAGTTTTTTAAATTGTATATATTTTTAATCATCAAGTAACCATAATTATGCCTTATTCAAAAGGCGTACTTAAAGCACTGTAAAACTTATTAATCTTTAGGAAAATTTAAATAAACAGAATTACTAATATTTAAATAGAAATGAAAATTAAAATAAAAGTAAATAGGTTTATTAAACACTTATGTTTTGTTATAAAAAAGTTCTAGTCTATATATTATATGTAGATAGTAACTATTTAATTACAAGACTAAACTATTTAATTTAATTACTATTTATTTAACTACAAGACGTAAGCATTAAATAAGCATTAGTGCTATTATTTTAACTTTATAAATATTACTTTATTTGTAGATATTGATTAGAAATTGTTAAAAGTATTATACGCAATAAATAACTATTAAAATCAAAACTACTAAAAAATAGTAACTAAGTCTTTAAAATATTTTAAATAGTTTTCAAATAGTTTAAAATATTTAAATAGTTTTTCTTTGCGTAAAAAAAAGTATAAAACCAAATTTTGTAACTAAAAAGTAGGGGTGTACCGGATCAGAAATTTTGAATTCCAGCTGAAACCGGATTTGCCGGGATTGTTAATAAAATGTCGACCGGAATGAGAATTATACATTATAATTTTTTACCTTCAATATTGAAAGGGACAGCCTGCACCTCAGCATCGTCTCTACATAATATATTTTTATTACATATATAATCTATTTCATTAGTTTAATTCTTGTTTCATTTAAATCTAATATGCTATTTATATTTGTTTCTTTTAATTTTATTTATTGAAAGTTTTAACCTGCATAAAATTTATATTTAAAATTATTTGTTTATTTTCTATTTTTCTATTTAGATTAAAAATGAAATATTTACTATATAATGCATTATATGCTTTTTAATTATTTAAAATTTAAGTAACATTTAAAATGAAACTATTATCAAAAGAAGGTAACATTTTTGATAGAAAAATCGCTAATAATTACAACCATATAAAATTTGTAACACCCTCAAATTGAGGGGGTTTAACCTTTATATGGTCATAACTTTTGCTATCTAATATATGCTAAGAGATAATACTATGAAACTTAAAACTTATCGATGAATATAAATCTAGTTAAGAAAAGTACAAAAAACATTTTATCAACTTGTTGCCCCTCACATTTAAGTTGGGTGAGGGGAGGATGAATTCAAAGGGCTTTTTTGTTCTTAGCTTCCAATCATCGCAATTTTTTGCAAAGCATCATTATCTGACATAGCTTATACTTATAATGAGGCAAATCCTCATTATAAGAATAAACATACTCAAATCACTATCACAAATAAGGATTGGCGAAGTTGTCTTTTAAACAAAATCGGAACTTGGACTCCAATAGTAAAACTTCTTGGTATTGCATGTGCATGAACAAAATATTTAACCTTAAAAAAACTTTTCATATATTTGACAAAAAAAAAATGTTCAATTATAGCGAAATATTTTTTACAGAATTCAAAATAAATTTAAAAAATTTGGTCTTGGAGTCGGAGTCAGAGTTAGAGTCGGAGTTGTACTCTGAAAATTTCAACAATTGAAATCTGAATCAGTACTTTTTTTTACGACTTCACAACCCTGGCTTTTTTGTTTTTTACTTTAGGTGTTCCAAGAAGACCTAACAATTTTGTCACATCAGAAAATTATTTAACTAGGAAGTTCAAACCTGCTGCAAAATATGCTATATATTTATTTTTCATAAACTAAATTTATTATTTTTTAGCTTGTAATTAACAATTTTTTTAATTCATTAAAAAAAAAATACGCATACAAAAAATAGTTTGCGTCGAAATTAAAATCCTAAAAATTCAGTAATAATAAGAACTTAATTTATGAAAATCTTTACAATGTTTTTGAACAAACATAAAGAAAGGAACAGTAACACAATTCAATTAAAAATTTCAAAAGTCAAATTTATAAAGGAAAAAGATTGTTAAGAAAACTAGGTCAAATATTCATGTTTTTAACATTTTTTGGATTTTTTCAAAGTGTTAAATAAGAATTAATAAGTGATGAGTTTGATGAAAATGATGACTTTGTGCCTAAAAAAAACTTTTCGAATATTAATTCAAATTTATTTCTAACATGTTTTTTCTTTCTTTTTTTACTGAATTCATGTTCCTAAGGCTGGATAGGTCTAGATAGATAGATAGATTGGTTACAAACCTCTCTCAACTTATTAACTCCAAAACACTTTTCAACCTGAAGGAACAAGGCTGATGGGCACAGAAACTGATTGATATACATAAAACATGTAATATATTTTATATTTCTTCTTCTTTATAAACTGAAAAAAAGTTAATAGCTTTCAAATTTAACTGAAAGTTAAATGAAATTTTGAAATTGTTACCGAATTTAACTGAAAGCTGAACTTCAGCACCGAGATTGAAACCGAAGTCAACTTCGCCTTTCAGTAAACTTTGTAATCAGAATTTTAACAAATATTTGCCAATCCTTAATCTCAAACACCAAAAAATCCTGGATCCATCGCTGCAGTAATTTATTGCAAATAAAATTACATTGTGCTTGTTAAGAATTTTGTATTTTTTAACTAGGTTTACCTTTAGTTTTTCATTTCAGTGTAGGACAGTGATTTTTTAATTTGATTTATACAGTCTGTGTCACATGTCTCAAAAAAAAAAGTAAAAAATAAATTCTGGCATTCTGGTACATCCCTACTAATAAAATTTTTTTTTTATAAAAAAACAGATAGCTCGTGCAAAAACAAAAAGTTCTTGTAAGAAGCTGTTTAGAGGAGAAGCTCGCATTTACAAATCCAAATATTTTGAGAGACATAAAGGCTATAGAGGAAATAAAAAACATAACAAGAAAATAGTATAATAAATTACAAAACTAATTTTCACATAAATTATGATAACTTCAGTATTTTTGTTTTAGATTCTTTGCTACTGCTGGGAGTGGTATTTAGTGTATAATTCTTTAGCAAAATATTAGAATATAATATGCGTGGTTTTTTTTTATTATTTTTAAATCTATAGTTAGCTGCTATGAACTGAAACTGAGTAACACAAAATGTTCTGCATTAAGTACCAATAGCACCTTGAAAAAATAAAAAGCAAAATATTGACTATTAGACAAGAGTATCAGAACAAATTTTAAGTTCACCTCTGTTTAATAACTTCCATATTTATTATATTTGGTTGTATCATCATAAATTTTTATTTCGCTTTTTTGCGCATAGGTCTGCTATGTAAACTACACCCATTAATGTAGAATTATTGACTGAGCCTTCAAGATCATGTATATTATGCAGCAGTTCTTTTTTATCAGTAGAAATATCTTTACAACATATATTGCAAGTGTGACCATTAATACCATCTACAGGAATGTCAAGTTGTAACATCAATTTAGTAAGTTGAATATGAATTTTTTAAATTACAAATTTTGCATTTATAAAGTAAGTACCTCCAGATCTTTGTCAAAGCTTAGAAAAAGCTTTTTTAATTGGAACTGTTGAAAACTAATCTAATAAGACATACTTTGCTTCATTACTCAACAAAGTTTCTACTAGATCAATTAAGCCATAGCATGTATTTGTTATTGCATTACTGGTTCTAGCGTAAACTGTTTTACTCCCTCAACTGTAGGTTTCATAAAATTTGACAGTTCAACAAAATCTCGTAGCAATTGCAACTGTTGAAGATTTCTTTAGATAATTCATTTCTAGACCAAATACCAGCACCAGATGCTTTGACATAAACAACATTTCAAAAAGAAATGACTTTTGCAATAAATTTAGCATTACCTTCAAATGCTTTATTTTCAATCCTGGATGCATTCTTATGGCAGTTACTGTTTCTTCGCAAAAAACAGACAAACAAAACTTTATAGATTGCCTTTCTATTGGTTTCAGATAAACTGATTTAGTTGTAACTTTAGAGAGTTTAAAAAAACTATTGCACTCAGTTTTATATAAAGTTTCCGAATCACTCCACTTAGTCTAAGCCAGTTCTTCATTGTGCAAAAATTGAAGCTTGCCAGTCTTTTCTACCAATTGATTCGTATAGATTTTAAGAGATACACATGATCATATAAAAAATATATATCTGATGTTGTTAACCATGCTTTGGTATCAACTGTTTTAAACACTTCAAAAAATCGTTGTTTTACATGGCTACCACCAGTAACTATTCCCACTGTCTTATTATTATCAATATTATCTATTGTATCAACAATTTGTTGAATTGAGCAAGCTGAAATTCTGAGGAAAATTTGCAACAGGTTGAGCTCTACATATAAGTTTTGGACCTCCAGAAAGACGTTTAATTATATATGATAAAATTGTTTTAGCTAATGTCTCAGGGTAGTTTACTACATGACCAAACAATGTACCTCTGTGGTAAAGTAAGGACGTTTTGAAATCTCATCAATTAAATATATTTTTCAATGGATTTAAATTCATAAAAATACTGTTTATGAAATTTAGGTCGTCTGTTGAGCTAATTTTTGAAGTCAATCATGTTAAAGTATACTTGGCAACTTTTATTCAATACACAAACAATTGTAAAAAGTTCATTGCATAGCAAAATACTTATATACTCTACATATAATATCTAGAGTATATTAAACTTCGCCTACATTAATTTTTTTCATAGCATTAAGGTGCTTGAATAGAATAATTGACTCACCTGGTAAAATATTCCAAAAACTGCTTGAAGTTACAGTTTTTCTAACTTTAATTGCTGGTGTGGGTAAACAACTAGGCAGAATATTTTCAAAAACAGAAGGTGGGTTTAATGACCATTGCTTCCATTATGTGCTCTCAAAAGGTGCATCATCTGGCCAATGCAGTCAATATACTGCTGTATAGTCTAAAACAATAAAATCTGTTCTTTTCAACTACAACAAAAAACTAGATTTTTGTTGTAGTTAAGTGATAACTCGACTTGCAAAGAGGTACGCCGCATTTTAAAGGCATCTTGACAATTAAAATCTGTTATCGTTAGTTCGACAATACTATTATTTTACCATATTATCTTTACATCTTGAAGTTGCGCTATCTAATTTATAAACCAATTAAATTTGAAAAATTTATAACTCATGTAAATTCCCGAGTCTCTGAAAAATATTTCAAAATTTTATGCTGATGACACAAAAATCATGTAAACAAGATTGGTTGCTTAGTTTTAATATTGAAAAATGTTTAGTTATGCATTTTGGGTATAAAAATAAGAGATATCTAATTTATATAAATTATTGTAAACTCAATACATCAGATTCAGAAAGGGACCTAGGAGTAATTTTTCAGATAACTTGAAGTGGGAAATCAAGTATTATCAAGAGCATGCAAAACCCATCACATGTTGGCCATAATAAGAAATTTTTTATTGGATTTGATGCAGAAATGTTAAAATCGCTAGGGTAGGGTGGGGTAATATGAATAGTTGGGGTAATATGGATGTATTCAATAAGTATGCATGGAGTAAGTTACCTATACATAATGCTAAAACCTAAAAATTACCAACAGTTCATACACATGATTAGGATTTTATTTTTGCACTAACAATTGTTATATTTAACTTACATGAATAGTTAAAATGTAAAAACATGTTATTTTGAAAAAAATATAAAATATATCAAATTTTACTTATGTAAGTTTAATGAGGTAAATTTATTAGTTGGAGCGTGATGTAACGACATGTAAAAATAAATTTATAAGTTCTCTAACCCATATTGTTAAATAAACAAAATTCTAAAATTGGGTAAAATGGATATACATGTAAAATAATAGTGGGGTAAAATGGATATATACAAAATATATAAAATTCTACTGATATTATAGAATTTTATTACAAAATCATAAGCTACATGACATTTATTTACTTATGCTTGCTTTTGCTTTTTAATATAGTATTACACATTTTTCAGTTATATATAAAAGCTTTATATAATGCTTCTGAACTATTTACATTATCACAGGTCAAATTTATTTTCCCTGAATGGCTGGGGTAAAACTTTAACTCCAATCTAAATGCTTTATATTCAATTTTTGTATTCCTCTTTACTTTATGATTAAATTTTATATTTTATATAATTAAAGTTTGTTTTATAATATTTTAGATAAAATAATAAGACTAAAATAAATTACTATGCCTCATGAATATCAACGTAAGAATATTGGTACATACAATCACAGCAAATTAATGACTGTCATACAGCTTGTTAAGAAAGTAGAGTCAGTATACAATGTTTCAAAGTCTTCCGAAATCCTTATGAGACATTTTACAGAAGATCCCATTATCAAATTCAAAGGAATGACAAAAGAATTAGAAGCGGGGGTGGGTTTGTTTTAAATAACACTTCTAGCAGAAGCTGATAAGGCTTTTACACAAGATAGAGAAGATATCAAACTGATGGTTAAATCCTATATAACATTTACTGGCAAAAAAAACTTCAAAGATGACAAGCCAGGAAAAGACTGGTACATATCTTTTAAAAAAAAGATGGAATGTAGTTCTTGGAAAAAGAAAACCTGGACTTTTGACAAAATCAAGAGCTAATGACCTTTTTCTATAAAGATTGACAGATTTTTTTGAGTTATATGAAAAGATATTAAACAATAATAATTTATTTGATAGACCACGTTGCATATTTAATTTAGATAAACAGGTTTACATACAGATCCTACAGGAGGAAAAATCTTTGTTCAGAAAGCATCGAAAACAGCTTATTAGATTGCTCCATCATGCAATAAATCAATGTATACTGTACTGTTTTGTGGGTCAGCAAATGGCCAGTGTCTACATCCCATTGTCAACTACAAAGTTGTCCACCTTTTTGATGCATGGTGTCAAAATGGACCAGAAAATGCAATTTTCACATAGGCGTTATGCAATTATGTTATACAAAAACTTTTTAGCTTTTGCATAAAACATTAAGCTGTAATTAACTGTTATAAAAAACATTTGTGGAATATTTTAGATAAAAAAACAGATTTTTTTTTTAAATTGTTTTTAATTTATTTTATTAAATTTAAATTAAATTTATTATTAAATATAATTAAATATAAATTTATTTTATTAAATTTAATTAAAATTCTTTTTAAAATTTAAAAACACTCCAGTTTTACAAAAATTTTTTACAGCAAAAATTTTCGACTATGTTAAAGTAAAAAATAAAAAAAAGTTACTTTAAAAAGTTCGTATACATATAACTTTATTTTACATTTCAGTTTTGAAATTAACAAAACTTTTTTATCTTTTTATTTTTTTTTTATTTTTTGAATTGATCATAGACTGAACGTAGATTAAAAATTATTAATTAGTTTATAAGTAGTATGAGAAGATATAGTTAAAGCCAAAATATAAAAAAAAGTTGATAGCTTTTATTTATTTTTTGACCTTTTCAGCGAAAAACTTAATAATTTTTTATAATGCCAAATTTTTTTCTTCAAGGTAAATTCCGGCTCTATGATTTTAAAAAAAAATACTGGTCTGATTAATGCGCTTTTGTAGTTAATAAATAACGCCAATACAAAAGTTCTTTCAAACATGAGTTATTAATGTTATGTTTGGGTTTTCCCTTTGCCATAAAATTTTATGTAGAAGAATTTCATTATTTTTTTTCATAAAACGAGCCAAACTTCTATAACCAAATAAAAATAACATGATCAATAAGTAAATGCTTTAAAAGCCCAACTTATATTTATTTAATTTTAAAAACAAAACTAATACTAGTGCTATAAATATAAAATATGTAAATTTCAAAATTATACTGATATTTGCTAAAAACAAGTTCTGCTAATAACATCTTTAAACTAAAAATACTATTTTGTGTTTTTGGAGTTAATAAGAAATAGTGAAAATATTAGGTATCACGGTAAATGAAAATGAAATATTTTGATTGAAATTTAAAAAAAAAACAAAGTAGAAAAGCGGTAATCTTCGTTTAATTACAATTTTTATTTTGTCAAAAGCCAGTTGAACTAAAATGTTTTAGATAGCGCAAACATTTTTTTATAAAGGGGAAAACCCAATCTAATAGCGTACTTATTTAAAAAACTTGGCGGTAAATTTTATTAAATTAAATCCCATTAAAACAAATAACCATAAAACGAATGTTTTAAAGAAAAAAAAATAAGTTTAAATATGTATAAGATTAAAATAAGGAAATGTTTTGTTTTTTTTGAACAACAATTAAACTTTATTCAAAAAAATTTTTTTATTACAATATTATTTAATTGAAAGATATTTTATAAAGATAAAAGTTTTTACTTATAAAAACAATTTTTAATGTGATTTTAAATTTAATTACAATGAGTATAATAAATGATGGTATTTTAAAATGTGCAACTGGCGTAATTAAACTTTTACTAATGTAAATATCTTTATTGAGTAAAGTTACATTTATTTGAATTACTCTTTTCCGTTACACAAAAAAATCTCAAGATATGATTATATAATTTTACTTTGCTTACCTGCAAACACAAGTCACGTGTTACAACCTCTTGATGTTGGTTTTTTTGCTCTATTGAAATCCTATTGGAAGAAAACCCTTAAAAATTGGTTTAGAGAAAGCAGACAAAAATGTTGACAAGTCTGTATTTCCAACTTTACTAAAAATTCTTGTCAGTACAAATTCTTTTTTGTTAGACTCATCTTTGCAGACGAGTCTAACAAAAAAGAAAATGTTGTAAAAAGCCTGCAGAGAGCATACGATTTTGTACTTACACCTAGCCAAAGTCAACCTACACTGACAGCACTTGCAAATTCAAAAAAAACTCAGAGCATATGTCCAGGCCAAAAAGGCAAAGGTTTTAACAGCACAAGATGTTGTTGCAAGGTTGCAAGACGAAAAAAAAATAAAGCTGAAAAAGAAAAGAATGTATCAGTAAGAAAAAGAAAACTGCTAGGCATAACCAATACAGTTTGACTTTTTAAATACATGAAAAGCAATAACTGTGATATATGTATCAAATATAATATGAATATCCGCATTACCCCACCAGTGGGGCAAATTAGATTCATGAAAGGTGTTATTAAAAAAAGATTAGTAAGTTATTGAAAATATATTTGTTTTACTCATTGTGAAGTTATTGTATACACCCTGAAAAAAGTTTTTTTGCAATTTAAAAACACACTTGAAATTTTTTGGCAAGCGCTTAAAAAAGCGCCAGTCGTAGATTTAGCGGTTGTGTGGGCAAGCGCAAAACCGCAAGAGCCAATCATGGCTCTTGCGGTTTTGCGCTCAAAAAACATGATTGGACAATATATATATTGTCCAATCATGTTTTGCTCACTTTCATCTAGACAGTTTCAAATAAACAAAAAGAAAAATAATGAAAAAAACAACAAAACAAACTTCGGCATATTGTCTGCCCAAACCTAAACCACTGTGAATGTATATACTGAAGCCCCATAAATGACTTTTTTAGTGCAATATCATCAGGAACATTTCATGCACACTAAAATTTGCACTAACTTTAATAAAAGCTAATGCAAATTTAAATGCATGTGATAATTAAGCCAATGAAACAAAAAGTAAATAACAAGAAATTGAAAGAATTGAAATAAAAATAATGTAAAACAATGTGTGAACATTTAAATGATTGTACCATGCCTCAGAATTAGAGTCGACAATTAGCAATGGCAACTTAATTCAGCAATTTTTTACCGACCTAGTTTCTATGTTTCATAGTTTACTTTTTAAACTATAAATGTTTATTCTTGAACACTAACACTTCTCTTCGTTTATTCTTGAACACTAACACTTCTCTTCGTTTATTCTTGAACACTAACACTTCTCTTCGTTTATTCTTGAACACTAATACTTGATATTCTTGGTCAACCATCAAAGTGCAGTAACCAGCTTTCTAAATGTAGCGTTTTTTACATTTCTTTTTCAAGTTTAACAGCTTTTTTAACAGTAGATTTGAATATAACAGACTGAAAGTGTCTAAATGTCGATTCCATTTTAAGATAACTGTCAACAAATGGTTGCTGCTTTCCTGGTTAATAAATTTGAAGATGGTAATAATTTGGTTGCATTTTTGGTTTTGTTGTAGTTCTTGCTGGTACTTGTAGACTGTTCTTTTGAATCTTCAGACTCTTGATATTCTGCCTAAGACTCAGATTTAAAAATTGATGCTGTTGCTGTTTACCATTACTGTTGTTAAAGTAGGCTTGTGCTTTACTTTTAATCTGAAGATGATACAATCTTTTTTCATCACTGCAGAGCTATTCACCATTCATTTGTGATGCCAAAAACTTCATTCAATGAACAATGTTTTTTTTGTTTTACACATTTATCATGTCTTCAGCACTTGATTCAGTTCTGCCTGTACAACTTGAATTGATAATTGTGAAAAATTTAACTTCTTTTGCCATATAACTTATTACTTCTTTTTCAATTTGCTTTAAGCGTTCTCGTCTCCCTTTGATGGAATCTCCCAGGAACAGATAGCGACCAACAATTTGGATTTTGAGTGGTATCCTGCTGTTATCTTCCATTGGATGTTCTTCTAGTGACTCATAAAATTGTACAAGATTCTTTATTCTGATTGCATTGTATTTTTTAGTAGTAAAAAACTTTTCTAATAGGACATTATGATTGAAGATAATACTTGAATATTTTTCTGAAAGGCAATAATAATAAATATAAGTGCTATTGTGCTTCTATATTATTTGAAAAGCCATCTTGCAAATACAGATTCATATATTATTAGTGTTGCTTAATGTGGCAGATTATGTAGTCTAAATCTTGCTTATTTCCATAAACTTCTAGAAGTCTCCAAAAAAGTCTAAAAAGATTCAGAGATTTCTAAAAGCAGTCCAGAAAAATTCTAAAACAGTCGATAAAATTCCATAAGGTTTAAGAAAATTCTAGGCTTCAGAAAGTCATAATACTACTGCATTCAAATACTATTTACACATAATTTTAAAAATATTATGTTGTGGGAGAGCTTTTTTGAAAATTAATCGGAATAAAACTGATTTTCATTAATTGACTTTTTAGGCCGTAAGTGCACTGGAGTGTGTATATTGACTAATTTTATTAGCTATAGCTATACTGTGATGACCTCTTACCTCACATTTTTTGATGTTTTTTACTAAAAAATATAAAATTATAAGAGAAAAGAGTCTTCATAGCCAAATTGAGGGGGACCCCTATAAAAAACAATATGTTGATGACAAATTTGGGGATGATGACAAATTTGGGGATGATGACAAATTTGGATGGAATTTGGAGGATGACGTTTATTTGGATTATAAAATGGGATTATATTTTTTTTCAGATTGGAAACTAAAACTTGGTCTAACATTGGAAAAATGAATAAACTAAAACAATGGCAAACAACAATGAAAAAAGAAGACACCGAACAAAAAGAAAAACACGAACAACAAAAAAAAATTACAAACAACAAAAGAAATATTACGAACAAACATAAGAAAGAAAAATTCAACTATGAAAATCAATATATAAACCCTAATAGTGTTTTCAACACAGACATTATAAATGAAAAAAATGACTATAACGATTCTGATATAAATGATTGGGATTGGGAATCAGAAGACGAGGATTTTAATGACACTTTTACTTTAGACGAATAATATTTTTTAATTATATAAGCATTTTTTCGAAATTATATATTTTATTATAAACAATTTTAAAGTAAATATATTTTTTTTATAAACTAATAAGTATTTTATATGTGCATATTTAACTTGCATTCGAGCAAACATTTAAAAATTACAATGAATTGTAATTTTTTAATCTGTCTGCTCGAAGTCCAAGTTTAATTATTTATACTTAAATACCAATTTTTTATATATGCTTTTATGTTTTTTTAGTTTTATAATTAACTTGCCATCGAGCAAACATTAAAACATTACAATGAATTGTATTGTCTTAATTGTCTGCTCGAAGTTCAAGTTTTATTAATTTACTTGCCATCGAGCATACATTGGGAAATATTTTACAATGAATTGTAAATACTTCACAATATGCTCCAAGACCAAGTTTTAGTTTCCAATCTGAAAAAAAATATAATCCCATTTTATAATCCAAATAAACGTCATCCTCCAAATTCCATCCAAATTTGTCATCATCCCCAAATTTGTCATCATCCCCAAATTTGTCATCAACATATTGTTTTTTATAGGGGTCCCCCTCAATTTGGCAATGAAGACTCTTTTCTCTTATAATTTTATATTTTTAGTAAAAAACATCAAAAAATGTGAGGTAAGAGGTCATCAATACTGAACCAACATACATCAATTGTACATCAACTGAGGGTTATGGTTTAGGCAGGCAGTTTATCAATTTAAATAAAATTAAATATTTATTAATTTATTTCGGTCTTTTTTTTTAACTTTTATAAATATGAAATTATATTATATTTATTATGAAAAAAAATAGATTACAACATTAATGGCTTGATTTAAGTAAAAAAATCATAAAAAGTACTTAATGTAAACTTACCATAGAAAAGTCTTTAAAATGTAAGAAATCATACACACTACTATATATATGCAATTTAATCTAAAAATAAAATAGGGTGCTTGAAAAATTTTTTTTTTACAAATATATATTTTTGTCTTTATTTTTTTTACTTCGAACAAAAATTGTGTGTATATATATATATATATATATATATATATATATATATATATATATATATATATATATATATATATATATATATATATATATATATATATATATATATATATATATATATATATATATATATATATATATATATATATATGTGTATATATATATATATATATATATATATACAGTATTTATACATTTATATATATTTATATATATATATATATATATATATATATATATATATATATATATATATATATATATATATATATATATATACATATATATATATATATATATATATATATATATATATATATATATATATATATATATATATATATATATATATATATATATATATACAGTATTTATATATTTATATATATATACATATATACAGTACTTATATATTTTTATATATATATATATATATATATATATATATATATATATATATAAATATATATATATATATATATATATATATATATATATAAAATTTATATACATACAGTGTGCAATTGAATATATGTTATATTCTTGTTGAACTACAATGTTTTTGATTTTAATTGAAAAATCATTTTTATCCTAAAAATTTTATGCAAGAAACAAAGAAGAACTTTGAATAGTTCAGCTATTACATCTCTTGCATAACTTTTAACCTTAGCATGATTATACTTTAAAAACCACGGATTAATCTCATTCAATTACATTTTTAACAATATAATTTTCAATGCCTTAAATAGCAAATTTTAGACTACAGTTAGTTACTCTTGTAGTCTTCTGCCAGCTTCCAAATACTTACTGGTATTATTAGATTAATATTTTTCCACAAACTATGAAAATTGCAAAAAATAAAACAAAAATATACTTTAAATTAATAAAGCCATTAAAAATGAATCGAATTCTTAATCTTGATAAAGCCGACACTTAAATAAAGCTATTTTCATACAATTGTGACAAATACCGTCAAATAACTAACTTATTCTAATAAACTTCAATATATTTACACTTTTTTATTGTTATTTGTTTGATGATCCAAACAAATGTTTTAACAAATTTAAAATAAACACTTAAAAAATGTATATAAAAAAGTTAATTTAAAAAATGTATATTAACCAAAAAATAATGCTATACTTTAAATAAACTTATTGATTATGTAAATTATCTAAAAATTATTTTACATAACTTAATGAATTTAAAATAATCATAGAGTGTAATACTTTAAAAAAATTACTATCAAAATTATTATACAATTATAAATATTATTATTTATAATATTGATGTTGTTATTTTTATTGTTGATATGTTTGCTTTTCCATTGTTATGTTAGACTTGTTTATTATAATATTAGTGATAAAATATAAAATAACGTAATATGTATTTTAAAAAGTGGTCAAATATCTAGAGAATAAAATCAAATTAAAAAATAATTTCAGCATATCTGTGTACTATGAACCTAATATGTTGTACTTTAGTGACTATTTAACCTAAGCTGCTTTTTAAAAACTTTAAAAAAGTAATCACATAGTTAAATAAAATAATGCAGTTAAAACTCCTTTTAAAAAACAACCAGTTTTCTGATAACAGTACGTTTGCATGTAAATCGCTTTACTCGTTTGAGCCGTTTAGTAAATCTAATATTGACATTACTTACATCCCAGAAATAAAAAAAAACGAAACGTTTATTATTCCGATCTTCTGTTGTTTCATTTTTTTTTTTAATGTTTTACTTATTAAAAAAAATTAACTCGTATTTCACTCGTATCGTTTACTATTCCAAACGAACAAAATTGAGTTTGTTTTTTTTTTTACGCAACTGTCTTTTCCATCTCAAGCTTTTTGTAAATCGATTGAAACTTTAATTTTTTATAAAATGAATTTTAACCATAAGAAATGCTCGATATTTTATTAACAGAATTGCATTTTGCAAATCTTTTTTTTTTCCTAAGAATTTCCTGTTAAAGGGAATTCTATTCCAGCAATTACAGATTGTATTTATTTTCTAAACTAAATACAGTATTTTTTTACGCAATCTTATTTAATAAATACGATGTAGACAAGTTTTTTCAGCAATATAAATGATTTATTCTTTTTCTACAAAATATATAAACATTTATATTATAGAGCCTCCTCAATTTTCTTTGTTTTATTATTCAGTAATATAGTAAAGTTTTCATTATTACACCTTTTACAGTGTATAAGTTACGAATAAAAAAATACAATATAAACATACAGTACCGTGGTTAGGCTGCCCCACGCCCTGCGAATTTAGGGGCACTAATGCAAGTTTAGCGAATTTTTTTATTAATAATAATGCTTAATAACAAAAGTTTTTAAAATCTTGGGGCTTAATAACAAGTTTTTTCATTAGATCCAAACAATATATATATATATATATATATATATATATATATATATATATATATATATATATATATATATATATATATATATATATATATATATATATATATATATATATATATATATATATATATATATATATATATAAGAAAACCTTTGATTTAAAATTACACCAGAAATTTGAGCTGTAAAATATAAAAGATCATAGGAATTTAAAAAAACCAAGATCCGTTTTAAACAAGCACACTTTATTTAAACTATATTATCCGCTCATACATTGTCAAATTAACTTTGTGAACATTTCGTGGGATAAAAATAATGAAAAAAAAATTTGAACTTCATTAACGTCAACTGAAGTTTGCCATTTGCCATACATATTTTTAATAAATTTTATTCATGTCAAGCCTCTTTTGATAAAGAATAGTTTTTAAAAAGTTTAATGTTTATAATAAAATTTGTGTTTAAGCATAAAAACAATATGTATTTTTTCATTAGTACCAAACCAATTGGTAAACTTGAATTACTTAAATAAGAAAATAGATATAAAGTTGACTAAATATAATAAATACATTTTTGCATCAACTTATTTATACTTATTTATAGATAATAAATTTATATTTTAAAAATATAAAAAAAGACATTAAACATTTTTAATTTCACTTAATTTCTTTCTTTACAGTATTGTTTTACCCTATTTCGACTTTATTCAATAAAAATAGTAGTTTTTTATTATTAGGATCGCTACCTTTTATGGAAACAGATGATGATTCATTTTGTATATGGTATATGATTGCTTATTTATAATTTTTGAGATAGAAAGATTTGATCCATTCAAAAGTTTATGAACCTTGATTATTTTTCTTATATGTGGGCACAGGACGTAAAAAAGATGTCTTATAAACTTTATTTTAACGTCTTTTGAACGTTTTGAACGTCTTCTGAACGTTCAAAAGACGTCTTATCTAGGCCCTGTACCCACTGGAACGTTTTCCTTGCAATTTATTGATAAATATGAAAAGTATTTGTTCGAAATTCTTAAAATTTTATATTTATATTAGAATAATGCAAAAGTTAACCTCTAATATGTTTAATAAAATGATTAAGAAAGTCTTTGAGATACAATACCCAAAACTTGGCTCACGCGATCCAATGGATATGAACTTTAACGGGTTTTTGTTCTTAAACTTCAATTTATAAAAACCGATGATGCGTTTTGTTTAGAAGCCAACCTGAAGTCAATACAATTTTATCTTTTAATGAGTTTTGAAAATTTTTTGTAAAAAAATATTTGTCTTTATAGTCTAATGATGAGACAGTACGATAGTCTCAAAATACTACTCACAAATAAATAATTTACTTGTTTTGAATGTTTCCGTAAATAGAAATTATTTAAATAATATATAAAAGTGTTTAAATATTTTGATTTTGCTCTCAATAATAAAGTTACAACACCCCTCGTTGATGCGTACCCACAATTTAGCTAGACTTTATTAACAGTTACCTAACGATTTATATTGTTGTCAGCTAAGCAATATTGGTAAGAAGGGGGCGTGAATTTCTTGGTTATATGCTCCTTTGCAGTGATCTAAGAATACGACTATTACATCAACGCGGAGCACTTTAACAAATAAAAAAAGGATATTAAATCTTAGTCAACCGTTGGTATCTAGTAAATGGGAAACCGCCTCATTAAATGTTGTTTTCATGACAGCACTTAGAGATTCATTACTAGAGTTTCCTCTGTAATACTGTAACGATCTGTAACACTACTTGCTTTTTTATTTTTTACTTGTTTTTACATTTTACCTACTGTGTTTTATTTAAACTTTATATTATACCGAACTTTTTTTTAAATTATACATACCCAAGACCGAGTGGTTAATGCAGTCTTGGAGGCTTCACTTATTTATTTTGGTATTTTTTCATTCAATGCTTAAAAACTTTTTTATATTCTTTTTTTATATTATATTCTAATTAAAAGTCTAACTTTTAGCTTTTACATATATAATTTTAATCTTTTTTTTTTTTTACAATTTTTATAGTGAAAGTTTATAAAAATACACAAATTCTATACCTAGTGAAAATACACAAATTCTATGCGAGATTTTTTTGGCTGGTTATTTTAAAAAATAACATATTAATCTTTTTAAAGTGCTTAAAATTTTGAAAATTTTTGGATTGTAAAATGTTTGGTTATACAAACATTTGACTAAAAATGACTTATGTCAAATTTCTTACCAGAATTGCTAAAAAATTAAAGAAATAGAAAAAAAAAGTTTACTATATAAAATCAATGTCTACTATGTCAATTCAACAGAACAAAGCAAAAGTTACTTGATCGTGTTTGCGATATAGTTTTTCTTATTTCTCCTTACGTCAATAAAGTTAATGCTTTCTTGGGACGCTGTTAGGATGCAATTCTGTAAATTTACCGCTTAATTTGATTTGAGTAAACATTTGTATTTTGCCATTAAAAAAAAATATATTATTTTGATATATGACGCTCCATTACAAAATCTAGCTTAATTCTTAGTTTATGAACAATAGGCCGGGTGA